GGACGAAGCCAGCGGCATTAACATTAGGATGAGGAATACCGTTGACTGGTTGAAGACTTGGTAATTGGGATTCATGCCGATATGCGTGAATGGGAGGCTTGCTGTGTGGTTCACATAATATTATCTAGCATGATAGACCTACTTATTGAAGAACCATCGGACAAAGGTTCTCCAATTTTGAGAGTGTCTTCATGTCCATGAAGCTTCTTCGCTATTCTCAAGCCGGATTGTAGAAAGGTAGAAGAACGCTGACTTGGAAAAGACGGATGACCGAGGAAGAAAATGACCTTTGCTCGAACCTGCCCGTCAAATTGTCCTTTGCCGTCATCTGATAGCGTCTTGCAGAAGGGACAATGAACTTCATAAACAGACGGACATCAGAAATGCTTGCTGCAGCAATATTTATAGATGCCTGCCATCCTGGCGGACTGCAGGAGAATTCTTCAAGCACATGAGATCAACCATGGCTCAACCACTGAGCGAAAGCAGCACGGCGAACACCAGCTTCACCGTCACTTCTCCAGAATTAGGTCATGCGCTACAATCTTTGAGCGATCGCCTCACACACATTGATAGGATAGGAAACAAGATTGAGGTGTTTGGGGCCGAGATGGAGACTCTGGTGGCTCGCCATGACCATGGATTTCAGGTCATGAGCCAGCAAGAAATGGTCGACCGTTTATTAGATCAGTCGAGTGCTCAAAAGGATACAAAAGCTGACAGTATGGCTGCCTCCAGCTCTTCATCGCGTGGCTTGTCAGTCAACGCGCCCGAATTTGTTCCCGGATATGTGGCGTCGGTGGATCATAAAGCTGAGAGATCTCCTGTCGCCACGTCCACTCGTGGCCTCACTAGTGCACTGGCAGCTTAAAGCGGCAGGTCGAGTCTCGCTGATAGTCCCACACCCAAGAAAGGAAGCGCTGATCTGCGAGAGGCATACCATAACTCAAGGTCTCTCAAGTACAAGACAGCTGAGAGATCCAAGTCATTTTATTGACTCGATTGCAGGTCCTCAGTGGGCAATACGTATGCTGGGTCCGATCCAAGAGATACATCCAGTCTTTCACGTCAATCTCATCGTCAAGGTCCGCATACTCGTGTGGTCACGTCCCATGGGTCATCCGGAAGCGAGCTCTCGAGTGACAAGGATTCCGATCATGGAAGGGGACCCGTGCTAGATTCCCCAACTGATACAACCCGTGGGAACAACACTCCGACGAACAATGTTAAGTATGTCATATAAGCTTGGTAGGGAAATTATAATTAACCTCTCAACAGTCAATGGGCCGCCTACGTATACGAGAATCGCTTGAATGTAAACCAGAACACCAGCTCAACTTCCAAACCTTAGTTTGATTTGAGACTCCGGGGGCCAGACGGAGTGAGTGTTGATTTGGTTTCTATGCTCTACGATCGCGATAAAAGCTCCACATTGCGTGTGTCCGAGTAGAGAGAAACTTCAATAATTCATTGTATGCTTTGCTAGAAGTGCACGATCGGAGGTACATGACGCCGATCGCACTTGACCACTTCTAGCTAGCGCGTCGTGAGCTTCAACCTCGCGTCATCAATTCCAAAGCTTTGCGTGCAATGGCGGACGATTATAGCAAATAGATCACCCGAATCGTCTTCTACAACTCTCAAAAAACGAAATGAGCAACTCTCCAGGGCTCAATAGCTCTGGTAGTTTGATGACTTTGGGCTGTTGAGCAGGTTGTGTCATACCAATCCAATGTTTCTATTCCCAATGCCAATTGTTCCGCACAGTCTCCCGCCAAACCCATCTCTCGTTGCGATAATCCTCATCATCACAACTCGCCGTGGTCCAAGGTTTGTGTTCCATTATCCAGGTATTCCTGAGCCCTCGCAACTGAACAACAGCTGGGCATTTGGGTCAATTGGCAGCGATAGCGAAGACAGTGACGATGACAGTGACGATGCAACGAGCACTTCTGATGCCGGCGAAACAGGCAGTAGAGCCGGAAGCATTAGCTCCACCAGAGCTGGAGAAAGTAGGGCAGGAAGTTTGAGTGGTAAGACTGGCAGGTTCTCTGCTGCAACTACAAGCACGAGAAGGACAACAAGGACATTAAGAGAAGACGGCCCGGAAGATGAAGAGGATATAGATGATGATATTGAGGCCTTGGACTTGAACGTCAGCGATAGCAATCAAGGGAAGAAAGACAGTAGTAAAAATGAGGACGGCGCCAGGAGTACCGACAAGGACAGAGTGCCCGAGTGGGAGAAACTGTTCGGTTATCCGACCGAAGGCTTAGAGAAACTTCTCAGCCCGGCGGATAAATTCAGCAAGAAGAAATTTGAGGTCAGCATTGAGGAGTTAGTCTTCTTGGGATACCCAGTATTTGCCAGAGAAGACGGATCTTGGAAGAAGAGAAACCGGATGGGCCAAGAAGAAAAGAAGAGCAATGACCAAGATGTAGACGGTCTTGCCATTGGGAAGAACCCCTTTGATGGCTTTGATCAGGGCGTTCATCATCCTCCTGAAGATTTGGACATCGCCGCCGCACGAGCTGCTGAAGTCAATAGCCCAGAACTCTCTCCAACAGCGACTCGAGACGATGTCCGGGACATGACCTATATGGATTCACTTACTCTGCCGCCGGAAGACAATCCTACCGCTCAAAATTATGGCTCTTACGGCGGCATGAGCGAATCCACATCCGAGATGAAGAGTGTATCCACCGCTTCTGGCGGTCAAGGTGATGATATGAGCATGTTTCACCTCGTCTTCGTGATGAACCCCCCCACTCTGGAATACCACATCCGTGTACAAGAAATGTACGACAACGTGGTAAAAAAGTTCTCCAAGGCTCTCAGATACGAGCAAACACGGTCTGGCTGGGTAGAAAAGGAAGCCAAAAAGATACTTACTCTCAAGAACCAGGCCAAGGAGAGCAGTAAGTTTGAACGAGTGGCGCCAATGTTTCACGCAATCTCTGATAAATGACTTTCAGAGAACCCGCCGCCCATGTCAATACTATGGGCTAGGATTATCCAGCAGTCTCCGCTAGCAAAAGCCATTGCAAATGTCTATACCCGCATTGCCAGCAACAAGATCGCCCATGTCAGTATCGGATCTACCTTCGATGCTTCCATACAGATTCCTCAAGCCATCAGTACTCCCTATGTTGCGACACCCATGGAACCGCAGCTGCCGGGCTTGTGGATCACTACTGCCTCTATGTTGGAAGACGATGATGGTATGCCAACACTCAGTCCTCATGCCGCACTACTCCTACTCGAAGACAAAGAGACCATGCTCAAGGAGATCGAGAATGAGAACAACAAGGAGATGACAACTCCGCTTGCCTACTTCATTCGCGAACTCAATCCTACCAAGTCACTCCAGAAGTTATCAGCTTCTCTATCACTTTCTCTGGCAGATATGCAGTTCCTGGCTCGACATTTAATCTATTGGCGTCGAGCACGCGCTGTCCCACCATTGCACATTCGAGACACCTATATTGTGTCGCCCAATTGCGACTTGAGAACACTGTCAAAAGCAACAACATTGTACTCTCAGCGCTTTTCTGCTCTGCCTAGTTTGCCTAATATGATACAGCTCTTGAGCGCCAAGCCGAAACAATTTGGATATCTGATTCCCAGCAAGGATCATAAAGCTGCGTATATGGAGATTTTAGCTTGGCTGTTACGAGGCGGTTGGGTCACGCAGCTCCGCACTTTCGCATGGATCAAGGTATCCCCGGCGGTGAAAGTAGCTGTTGCAATTCAGATGCGAAAAGAAGCAGCGGAGAAAGCTGTCTTGAAGAGCAGAGCGGACACAACCAAGCCGGATGTTACAGGCACAGGTAAAGGAAACGTCCACGGCTCTGCGTCCACCACTGCCATGTCTGCCCGCCGCACATATAGCGAGGACGATTACACATCTTCCAATTCCAACTCCCGCAAATCATCAAGATCAAAAGCCAGTCCTCATCTGGAGGCTCGCCTAAGCCCTACATCGCGCGATCGCTCAGGCTCAGACACGGCAAGCATGTCCAGCACGAGGACTGCGATTCCGCCACCATCACTATCTATGGCCCTTCCAAGCCTTCCTTCTCCAGCGTTGATACCTCTCAGACCAAGTCCCTTGCATGCGGTCGACAACATCAACCCCCTCTCTCCTCCGACTGGGCTGGCAGGATTTCCGTCCAGTACTAGCGCTCCAGAAACAGAATCTCTGTCCGTCGCCTCCGCACCAGACGCCGACCTAGCGACCAACTATAGCGCAGAACCTCTCTTCAGCGGCTCCACAATCACATTGCCAAGTACACAGGAAACGGACTACGAGACGACGCTGGTACTATCACCGCATAAAGCCAACACGATTGAAAGCAAATGGCTAGCACATATAGGCTCACAGCTCGAAGACAAAGAGCTGAGGGAAGTCTGGCCAACTTTGGTCAAATACTTTGATGGAAGAAGAGCGGTTGAAGAAATCGCTAGTCGGGAGGGATGGAAGAGGAGAACGGTCGACGAGCTGATGGTGAAACTGGAGCAAGTGGGCTGTCTTGTTGTGGTTAGACATTGGTAGAACGTTCTATGATACCCAGGATAAACGAATAATTCAACTATTGTCTCTCTTGTCTTTATCACACTTAAGATAAGGTAGTACAGCAATTGCTTTCCTGCTAAGTTTGCGTCGGCAGCACAGATTCTTGCAAAGTCCTGTGTAGAGTAGTACTGTTCCTTAGAAAACTAGGTATCTCGACGCAAACGATATAGTGGACTGAAGATGTCTGATCTACAGTAACCACACCATCGTGGATCTATTTGTTATCTTGCCAATGTACCTTATTTTACAAGCAGCAATCCCAGTGTGCCAAAGATGGTATGACAGAGAAGCAGCTTCGCCGACCTCGGCACACTATTCCTCTACAGCGCCGAATCCCCGAAATCGCAGCCAAAACTCGACGCCCCGTCCAGTCTAAGACTGACTGACCAGCGAAAAAGAAAAACCAGTAAAAGACAAAAAATAATGCCGCTTCTGTGGATCGAACACAGTACCTCCAGAATACTACCTGTTGTGAACAGGCTAGAAGAACTAAAGTTTGACTTCAGTCTGGCGCTCTCCCAGGTGAGCTAAAGCGGCTTGATGGAGGAAACAAGATTTGGATGGTTTATATTGTTATTACTAGCGATTTTTTGTTATGTATTTGCGGTTCTGGCTTCGCGGCTTTGCGACTATAGGCTGTAAAAGGAGAAAAAACCGACATCGATATTTTTTTTTATCGATATTCATCATTTTATTGACAGTTTCATTTACAAGCTGACTCAATGAGTCGGACTATCCAACTCCCATCGATTTTAATTAAGGGAAAGGGTGCCGCCTAACTGTTCTAGCAACGCTATTGCTATAGTTATACTAGCGCTGTCCCTAAAGGGACCTAATACTATTATAGTAATACAGAGATAAGCTAGAAACACTAAATAGAGTAGAGGGTTAATCCAACCTATTTGCTCACTCTAGCCTAGTAATAATACTGTTTTTATAAAAGATATACTAAAGCGTTTTATTAAAGGAGCAGTAAATGCTTAGAACAATAAGCTTAATAAGCTATTTAAGCAACTTTAAAAATAGAATAAACTATTTTATATATAGAATAAATAACTTTAGAATCAGAATAGATTATTCTAAATTTAGAATAAGCAACTTTATTAAAAAAACATTATAATAATAGTAATATTTAATATTATTATAAAAAAAAATAAGAAGCTTAAAAAGAAACTTAATAATATAAATATAAATATTAAAAATATTAATACTAATATTAAAGCTTTAAATATTAAAGTCTAATTTATTAAGTCTAATATTAATAAAGGAAAAACAGTCTTTTTAACCTTTAAATAAGTAAGCTTAATATCCTTAGCTAATTTTAATATAATAGCTTTTTTATTAATATTCTATATTTTAGCAATATTAGGCTTAATTAACTTATTATTATTAGCTATATAGTTTTAATATAGTAATACTATAGTAATAATATTATTTACCTTTTCTAAAAAACTGCGCCAATTTCTAAGCGTTATAATAGACTTAAGCTAAATAATAGCTAAATAGCGTAAAATAATAAATAACTATAAAGCAACTAGGAATAAAATCTAAAAAGCTATTATAGCTTAATAATCTATAAATAATATTGTTATTAAAGGAATCTAATTTAAAATAAGGGATATAAAGATTATTATTTAAAATAAGAAAAATATAGCATATTTGCAAATAAATAAAGCATAGGTTTATTAAGTATTTAAAATAGCCTGAATCTGTAAAAAGGAACTCTTTCTAATTAAGGTCAATAATATATATAAAATAGTAGTCCTAGTATTAGGCATTTATAAAATTAAATTAGAACTAGTAGCTGAATTTAATATAGAAAATAGGTTTACTAGAGCTATTAAGGCGTTCTAGCTCTCTAAAGGGGAGAAACCTATAGGATCTATAGTAATATACCTTAATATAGTAGAAAATGTTTAGAAAGCGCTTAAGAAACGTATAATCTAAATTAATAATAGCATAGCTATAATTAGCTAATACTATAAGATCCAATGCCTTTAGAAATGCTATAACTGCAATAAATATAGTCATTATTAGGCTAGATGTAGCTAACTCTTAAAATATAAAAAATGTGCAGACAATTATAAAACTAATAACTGCATAGCTATAATACTAAAATATATAGCATATAGGGGACTATATATAGCTATAAATTCTAGATATATAGTATATTAAAATAAGATTAGTAGAATCTAAAGCGGAAACAAACCCTCTAATTAGCCTATTAAAGCAAGGGAAGACAATTAGCAAACAGTTATAAGCTAATATACTAGATAGGAAATCACTATAAGCAATGTATAATAGGGGATACCTGCTTCCTCCTAGCAAATATAAATAGACAATCCCTAATTCAGCTTAGCCTTATTAATAACCAGTCTATTAGCCAGTTTATAACAATCATAGTTACAAAACTAAGTATTGCTAGTATTAAAGGCAAACTATACATTTCGCAATACTAATACTAAGTTACTATAATACTATCTATATATTAAAAAGGACGCATTACGTATTCTAATTAGCATTTTATATCTATAAAGATATTTCATTTATCCAGATCCTTATAATATTATTTAATATAATAATAGGGGTTATTACTATATTAATAAAACATATTTTTATAGCGTTAATCTATATCCTAGGCTGCAGCTGATACATGCCTTCTAAGTAAGACTTAGAAGAGACAGCTACTACTAGGCTCAATGCCCTAAGCAGAGCAATCTAAAAAGTAAAAGCTAAATATAAAGAGAATTTCTATATTATAATTAAAAGTGATTTTAACTGCTATAACCTAATATAAGGAGGAATTAATATGCTACAGTTATAATATAAAGGAGAAAGCGAACTAATGCTTTAATAAATACAATAATATAATACTTTTTTAGCTTTATGAAATAGTATAATTATATTTTTATAAAGATAATTTAAAACTATTATTAATTTTATATTAGTGTCCAATTCAATAAAAGACCAGATTATAAAATGTAGCATTTATCTAATCTAATATAGGTTAGACTATAAAGCTATAACATTTCAAATTAATAAGGCTAAAATAACTATTTTACAAAGAGCTAAATACAACTTTAGAAAAACAAATTAGAATATAGCTATTAAGGCGCTTAAGGAATAAAAACTGTTAATTATTAATATTAACAATACTACTAAGCTTAATTAGGCAGTTATAGAGATTCAGAACATTATAAGTTAATATATTTATAACTATAGCTCTATAATTAAGAAATCACTATATATAAAAGCATAATAGAACAATGAACTTATAAAGCTACATAATAAATATATACAATGCCTAAACTAAAGTATTACATTACAAACTATAAAACTAAATAGTAAAGAAAGCTGCTGCAAAGCTAGGCAAGCTAAATACCAGTTTTATAAAGGCATTTACAATAAAAAACAACTATATTGGAATAAGTTCCTAGCATAGACTAACAATATCTGAAAAGCAGCCTAATACCTTAACCTATAATTATCAGCGTTTAGCAATATCCCTACTATATTTATTAATATTAAAAGTCAGGAAATGGAGCTTAAAGAAGACAAGGCTAAAGCAAATAAACTACTCTAATACTTATTTCTACTAATCCCTAAAGAGTGGAAAGAGAACGCGCTAAACCCTAATGCTAAATATATAGAGGACCTGGATATCTCTATCAAAGAAGTAACTAGAACAATAGCTAAAATCAGCCTATATAAAGAACTAGGTATAGACAGTATCCTAAACATTGTATAGAAACGCCTATATGTTAAGACCTAAAGGATCAGGACTCTGAATCACTTGCTTAGCAAGTGATCTGGAAAGCAAACTACTAAATGTTTGCTTATATATTAAAACAACAAATTAATACAAATATAGATATGTTTACATTACTACACTTATTTGCTTATAAGTGATTTAAGTAATTAATCACTTAGTTATTAATAATCTAAATAATCACTTACAAACTCTATAAGTATATAGCTACCTAGTCCTTACCAATCTCTTAGATAGTTTATAGTTAACTTATGTTAACAATCTCATACCTACCTAAACAACACCTCCTGCTCTTATGAATAAGCTCCTGCTTTGCTAACAAACTGCATATCAACTTGCCTGCCCTATTGAGATGTAACATTCCTTTTTTATATTATTATTTGTACTATTTATTGCAAAACCTAATAGAAACCTACGCTTATATATAGATTACTATAGCCTAAACGTTATATTTAAGAAAGATAAATACCTGCTGTCTCTAATTAAAAAGACTCTGAATGCCCTAAAAGGCATAAAGTACTTTTCCAAAATTGATATTGTTGCTACATTTAACAATATTTAGATTAAAAAAGGCTTAGAATACCTTATAGCCTTCTAAACTAAGCTAGAACTATTTGAGTCTCTAGTAATGCTGTTTAATTTAATTAGAGCGCTTAAAACCTAGTAAAGGTTTATAAATAATATTCTGCAACCTTATATTAACTTATTTTATTAAATGTATTTAGACAATATTCTAATTTACAGTAAGACTTAAAAGGAATATAAGAGACACGTCTGCCTGACTCTATAAGTACTGTAAGAAAACAAGCTATATATAAAGCTATTTAAATATAAGTTCTTTAAGTCTAAAGTAACTTATTTAGGCTTTATTCTAAATGCTAACAGCATTAAGATAAACCTAAAGAAGATTAAAACAATTATTGACTAGCAATTTCTAAAGACTGTATTAAACTTTAAATTATTTATTAGGTTTGCTAGCTTCTATAGATAATAGATTAAGGACTTTTTAAGAATTCTAGCATTAATTACTACATTAAAAAGAAAGAATATTGTGTTTAAATAGACTGAAGAGTGCTAGAAGGCGTTTGATTACTTAAAAGCAGCTTTTATAACTGAACTTGTATTAAAACACTTTAACTAGGATAAACTTATAATATTAGAAACCAACGCTTCTAATTATATCTGCGCTAAAATACTGTCTTAATATAATAAAAACAGAACTCTGCATTCTATTGCTTTTTATTTAAAGAAGATAACCCTTACTAAATACAACTACAAGATATATAACAAAGAATTGCTTATAATTATACGCTACTTAGAAAATAGTTTATAAAGCTGGAAATAAGCTAAAAAGTTGTTAAAATACTATACAACTATAAGAACCTTAAGTACTTTATATCTATAAAGAAGCTGAACAAAAGACAAGCAAAATAGTCTGAGTTCCTATTAAGATTTAATTTTGATATAGTATATTACTTTAGAAAACAAGGAGTTAAGCCTAATAGTCTAACTAAGAAATTAGAAAACATACTTTAGAAGAGGAAGGAACGCTTCTTATATTAAAGCTAAACAATATTAAAGCGAAATAATTTTAAAGATTTCCTTACTGAGTTTCTAAATTAATTAAATATATAAGGTCCCGCTTAGCTAAAAACTTCTAGCCTAACTCTTACTAAGAACATAAATATTATACTTAATTAACTGCTATTGCTATTCCTGCTTAACTAGCTATAAAAATTGCTAAAAAAAAGCTTATAAATTGGACTTT